CAGACAATTTAGAATAGTTGCAAGAATGAAGACTATAAATTTGTTTATCATGCTAATTATAGTAAATCCAGTTTCCATATTTCTCGGGCTTTTTCCTAAGTCTTTGCGGCAACACTTTCCTGTTAGGTTCTTGTGCTAAGTTAATTTCTGTTCTTTCTACATTTACTTTCTTGTTTTCTTTTAATAAATGAAATAAATTTTTGACAAAATATTTTACATAATTATAAATTTGTTTCATAATGTCATATATTTCTACTATTTTTCTGTGAATGCTCATCACTTGATTGCATAGATATGTAAGTAATCCTGTTAAACCTAAAAAAAAAAGATAAATTTTTTCAAGAATAATCCTCCAATAACAAATACTTCATGTAAGTTTACAAATCAGCATTTTCATGTTGAATGTCATTTTCAATGTCAGCCTGATGGTCTCTCAGCAGTCGTTTATTTACAAAGCGTCGTTTAATTAAACACAACACGGTACACAAGCAACTGGTTAATGACAGGCTTGAGAGGCAAATAGAAATAACTGAAAGTCAAGAAATAAAGTAAACTAAGAAAATATGAACAAGTAACTAGAAATTTTGATTTTGAAGAAAATAGACAGGAATGCATTTAAATTACTGTATAAATTTGTTAGGTAAAACATTAAAATTTAAACTCAGAAATGTTACTATTTAATTCATGAATATTTACTTATGAGAATGGTAAGTGTGGTTCCACTACTGCCAGTATCCTAAAAAAATGTAAGGGGAAAAAAACTTCCATTGAAACAAAAAGACAGGATGAAATGTCACTGTTTTATGACAAGTTCTGCTATCAGTTGTAGTAAAATTTACCTCATAAGTTCCTCTCTCTCAGTAGGTTGTATGCCGTTACTCACTGTGTCAGTTGTCTCCGTGGGGAAAGATGAAGGCTAAAAATGCAAATATGCTTAGTATGACAACCCACTAACTACAAAATGCAGATCAATCAAACACCACTTAAAGGGGGGGGGGGGTAGTAAAATTTACCTCATTAAGTTCCTCTCTCACAGTAGGTTGCATGCCGTTACTCACTGTGTCAGTTGTCTCCGTGGGGAAAGATGAAGGCTAAAAATGCAAATATGCTTAGTATGACAACCCACTAACTACAAAATGCAGATCAATCAAACACCACTTAAGGGGGGGGGGGGGCAATTTTCATGGCTTCATATGTCAGGATGGTTTTTTCATGCTCATTACTGATGCTAGAATATTTTATTAAACATACTTGAGATACATGTTAGCATATAATTCATATGGGGGGGATTAAAACCAAGACAAATACTACACAATCTTTCACTGATGCATATTACTTTCATCAAGCTACAATATACAAGAAAAATATTTGAAAATATACTACCAAAGATTTATCTATGGTACTGGTACTGGGAGATGCCATGGTATGTCGAGTCTTGGAAGTGGATGTTGCTTCAGTTTTAATTTTCTGTAACAGATAATGAATAGCTTGAAAGATTCTTGAATCAATATATATTAATGTCATAAACACAGTAAATCAATTTCAATTAAACAGGAAAAAATGTTAAAAAATATACCTCAGAATTAACTAATGTATCAAAGGGTGTTTTCACCACTGTTTCCATGGAGACCTCAGTTGTTATTTCCTGTAAGAAGTATTAAATTGTCTGATAGCGAGCTCTATAGACTAACAAATTCCTTGTGATGATGGTGGGAAAAAAACATATAGGTGACCAAGTTATAGTTCTTGCAATGAGTTCAAATAAACAACAATAATCATGTTATCTCTTAAAATGTATGCGAGGGCCTTTCCTTAAAAATTTATACTTCTTGGACTCTGTTTTGGAAATGCAACTAACATATAAAGAATCATGTGAAAACACAGTCTAGACTGAGTATGTGCGAGCAGATTACATATATAATTGTCACACTAAACAACATAGTAATTCGTAGGAGGTAACAGGTAGAGCTTGAGATATATATCAACACCATAAATACATATAATTCATTCATATTAACAGGAAATGCTTGCGAATATACTCCCGATTTAACTACTGTCTCAATGTTTTTTTTTTTAATTTTTTTTTTTATATCATGGCATAGCACTCCAGGTACACATACAGTACACATTAAACAACATAGTAATTGGTGGGAGGGGGGATACTTACACATGCAACACTATTTAAGTAGACTGTAATTTTGCTTTGCGACAAATAAAATTTGTTGTCACATGTCAGAGGCGTTTCATCAACGTATAAAACTCTAATTGAAGTACAACGCAGGTCCATGACGCCACTCTCCTCAAAATGAGTAAAACGAATAACGTGAACATCATCTGCCATACACCCCTTGTACAGACCCTCTCCCATCCAGTTGCAAATCGCATTGGTACAAACATCATAGAAATAGTGTCCCTGGACACCATCAAACCAAACAAATAACAATAAGCTGAATAACAACTGCCTCATGCTCATCTTTTACCGCTTCGAATTCATAATGGCGTTCTTGCAGAATGCAATTTTGGTAATACCGATCCCGACACAATTAGCATTAAAAAAAATCTGTATTATATATATATATATATATATAAATCACTTACCCTTTTATTGATACTTTTATTTCTGGAATCGGGGCACAATATTTCTTTCCAATAAAAGGTTCAAGCTCTTCATCCCAGTTCTCTCCCTCTATTTTCACTTCATACTTAGGTAGAGAAGTGTTTCCTTTTTTGCAATCATTTTGTTGCAACTTTTCAGAATCTAACTTATCTGCACAGCTTGTGCAAATATTTTTCCCCTCACTTCGTAAATTTGTGAGTATAATCATACTCACATGCTGTGAATTTTTTCGAAATATTTCTATTTTTCCCACACTTTAGAAGGTGGTAGGAGAACCTCTTTGTCTGTATAACATGCGATTTATCATACGGACAAATTTGAAATTCCTCACACTCCTGATAGTCAGCCATATTTTCATATAGTTTGTAAAATGAAAGTTCGTCATACTTTATATCACTGATTGCTGACACATTTAAAAATTTATTATCTTCATTTATCCTAATTAGGGATTTCTGTCCGCCCGTCTTTCAGTGCACTGATATAATAATAATTAAGAAATATATGGAGAACCATAATTTATCACTAAATAAAGATATTAAAATATCGGTAACTTCGCTAGACAAAAGATGTTTTCTTCTTATTTGATGGATTACTTTATGTTGGGATGATTTCGAGTCATGAAGCTTAGATATAAAGGAGGAAAAGCGAGTATGGTTTTGTATATATGTATAATAATTTTACATATATAAGAAAATCGTGATAAAAAACCAATAAATAAAGATTTTGAAAGTTCATTTACGTCAATAGACAAAAGATGTTCTCTCTTTTTTTTGTTGTTGATGGATTACTTGTGGGGTGGGAGGAGGAAAAGCGAGTATAGTTTTGTAAATATGTATAATAATTTTACATATATAAGGAAATCGTGATAAAAAACCAATAAATAAAGAATTTGAAAGTTCATTTACGTCAATAGACAAAAGATGTTCTCTCTTTTGTTGTTGTTGATGGATTACTTGTGGGGTGGGAAGTCTGATCTATAGTCATGATTTTTTTTAAATGTACGTATGGTTTTGAATAAATGTATAATAATTTAACATATGCATAGGAAAATCGTGATTAAAAAAACAATAAATATAGATTTTGAAAATTCATTAACGCCAATAGACAAAAGATGTTCTCTCTTTCTCTCTCTTTTGATTGATTGATTGATTACTTGTGGGGTGGAAAATCTGATCTATAGTCATGATTTTTTAATACAATAAATGCCGTAATTGAATGGTGGACTATATAAATGAGAAAAAAGAAACGACGAATCACATATCTTTCATAAGATATTAAAAAGATCACCAGTCTGATATGACTTCTGAAATCCGCTTCGATAGTGAGATCAGTGGTGATGGTGAAACACCAATGTTCAATATTAGAGGAAACGATAATTATAGAAGGGGACACTATGGAATGCAATTCTCATATTTCCGTAGAAGAGTTTACATACATCTCCAAGGTATGCTTTTATTGTCGTTTTGCATATTTTTGCACCTTTATAATTTCGATAAATTAAAGATTCTAGAATGCAGTAAAACTAAAGACTAAAAAATGCATTTTGCTAGACAATAACAGAGGGAAACAGGTTTCCCTACCAGAGGACGTACTGATGGCTATTCTTAATATGTCGGAAGAGCTGAAAGCCGCTATTGACCTTACGAGGAATTTATCGGCACCTCCAAGTCCACCTTTGGTTAGTATCATCCTTAGTTGACGCAAAGTTAAAAGGGGGGGGGGTTTAATATAAACATTAATAACGTTAATTTAAGTTAATATTCATATTATTGTATTATATTTAGTTAAAAGGAAATGAAACTTAGATACATATTCTTTACAAGTACCGTATATAATTGTGCTTTGCAGAAAATTACAATGCTTTTCATTAATTTAATAGAATCGTTTACCTCCACTGAAGAGGGCCAAAGCTGCCGCGCGGAGAGTCATTTTAAAGGATAATGATACAGACGAGGACGAAATTCTTACCATATGAATGGTTACGATCAGAAAAGATGTCTCCTAAAAAATTTCAAAACTCCTCATGACCCTTAGGACAGTTGTTCTGCTACGGTGGTGGAAAAATAACCATATTGTATATTGAATTAACCAAGATTGTATATGGACACTTAAATATTTTTGAATTTAATGAAATATCTTCTTTTTTTCTTTGTAAAACTTTATAGAAAATCCACAATTTATTTAATTTTAAGAAGAAATTATTTAAACAAATTTTACAGAGCCTTTTGGAGTGTTAAAATATTAAAAGATTATTTTTTTAGAAAGATATTTATTTGGAAATTAAATCATGTATGAGTACAAGTGTATTTCTTTTCATTCAATTACTTTGAGCACTAAATGAATACATACAAAATATTTATTGTTGGAACATTATTGCGATTTTTTAATGTCCATAGGAGTAACCTTCAACACCATATGGTGCCAACCAGTATCGTTTATCATCAAATGGAGACAAAGAAATTTTATTGATGGCTTTTAGATACAAGTCATGGTTTTCACTTCGTATAGAGTTCATAGTATGTCTTTCCAGTTCGCGCTTGTATAGACAGTCCACATAATTCTGATAAACAAGGTTTCTGGAGACCACGGATTTAGAGATCCCTTTGGCCTTTTTCACTTCGCTTTCTTTACCATCGTTGATAGTAAATGAATACATCTTTGGTCTTAAACCCACAAATCCTATGATAGGAACTCCTGTTGAATATAAAATGCAAAACATATTTTTATATTGCTGAAACAAATTCATATTGCAATTGAGAGATAAAGAAAAAACTCACCCCCAGTTTCATTTTTCATTTTTCCAACCACCTTTTTGTTTTTCTCATTGAATAAGAAGTGCTCTCTTGAAGTATCGAAAGCGTCAATGTGTTGGTTTATTTCTTTGTACAGATCATCGACTTCGAACCTGCAGAATAAATGTCATTGAAGTGAATTTTCACTTCAACATTTTGGTATTCAGATAAAATTAAATAATAAAGCTTGATTTACCTGTAAAACAGTGAATCGGTATCAGTCATCAGCAATTTGGCATTCTCTCGGTATTGTTTCTTAATGAATCCGTAATGGAACTGATACATGAATAATTTGGAGAGGTCTAATATTGTCATACCAATATAAATGGGTTTATTTAGTAACAATTTTACTTTCTTGTTTTTCACTCCGACAAGATGTGAATTAAAGATGGTGAACATCTCGAAACTAGGTTTGCTGACGAGTTTCTGTAGTCTTTTTTTCGTATGCTCTAAATTGAAATTCATTCTATTTCAAATATTCTCCATGGTTTTTCTGAAATATTAAAAGACATACAGTGATATGTTTTTTAATATAAATAATCTAATAATTTATGTCACAACTCTAATGAAGTCAACTTACCCAAACACTATGTTGTTGTAGGCTTTGTGAAGAGAAACATCAAAGTCATTCTGAGCCTCCCGTCTCTTTCTGGTGTTGTAATCGATGTAGGGTTTCAGCCATGCAGATTGCGTAAAGCTTATGACTCGATGTATTTCTCTGAGCACCAATCTGTTATTAATATAGAATTGTAGATTCCTTTAATGAACGAGATACTTTGTCTTTGTTCTAAGTGTAGGCACTAACTTCTTCGATATCTCTCCAGTAGCTTTCTTTGCATGAAGTTTCTCAAATAGCTTACGGCAGTATGGCGATAGATCGTTTATTTTAATAGATAATGACTCTGGCGCTAATGGGAGATCATTATGAAGATCATGCAAATGATTTGGATAATCAAGTGTCACCTCTAGAATGTACCCTGTGTTTGCATCTTTCTTTATGTTCATAATATCAAGTTTTGATTGATTGATTGTATGTTGTTTAACGTCCCTCTCGAGAATTTTTCACTCATATGGAGACGCCACCATTTGCCGGTGGAGAGCTGCAAATTTTGTCCTATACTCGGCACTTACGGCCATTGAGCAGTGAGGGATCTTTTTCGTGCCAGCACCTACTGCGACACGGGACCTCGGTTTATACGGTCTCATCCGAAGGACCGGTCTCCACGTCCCACAGTGGGATTCGAACCCGCGACGTAAGGATCAACTCCTTACTACGCGACTCTAGAGCAGACGCTCTAACCACTGCGCCACGCGGGCGTATCAAGTTTTGAAATCTCTTCCCTACATAACCATCTGAAATCTCCAACAGGTAATGGTTCAACCATTGCACCACCATACAAATTATTCATATCGAAATAGCCAAGATATACATTTGCCTGATCAGGATCGTAGCTTTTCTCAATATATGGATTGTTAGCCTCTGCATGACGCATGGTCATCATTGACACACCTCCACGCACACCTTTCTCTATCATTTGATATTGTTCTAAGTCAGTTATCAATTCCAGTTGAACATTAGTCATTTTTAGGCATGCACTCCAGCACATACCGGCTAGTGTATAATACTGCGCTGGATCTAACTCGAAACTCTTCAAAGACACGCTTCTGAATCGTTCAAATACGTCTGCTAAGAGCAACACATCACATACCAAATATAAATCATGGTACTCTCCCATTGTTTTTATATTCATATCTTTCCATACTTGCTGAGCATGTTCATAGTCTTTATCTGAAATGTGACAATTGTTTATTGTTTTGAAGAATTCGGATTTTGGAGGTAACTGATCAGTCAAAAATTTCGATGAATCGGTGATAAATGAATAAGGGTAAACGCCTTTTCGCAGTAAAAGTTTTCTTTGATAAGAGGATTTAAAATGATTGTTAAACTGTTGGAAATTATGCTCACCACACGATTTGAGATTCATCACTAATGTGTCCAATGAGGTTGAAATAAATTGGAAAGAATCGATAAATCTTAGGTGTGAGACTGTAAATGACACGTAAAGTTCATTCGTGTTAGCGATGACATTCAAACGTTCGCTTTTAAATTTACCCAGCTTCTGCATTATTAGATGACCATCAAATCCTCGTAAATTATGCAGAACGACTGGTATAAATTCAACTTGTTTGAACTGTAAATTTCAATTTTTATGTGCAATACCAAAAATTTCACCAGTGATATGGTCATGGTTTCTTACTTTGTCATATCTATTTTGAAATTCTAGTCCACAAAGATGACAATGTGTAGCTTCATCAAAGAGGACTTCCGTCTCTTGAGTAATTTTCATGGGCTCTACTTGATGTAATTTATCCATAATTGCTCTCTCTTCTTTGAGTAATTCGGATAAAAATGTTTCAACATTTTCTCCGCGATAGATGACAGGGGATTTAGAATACCTTTTGTCTGTTGATACAATTTGAAATGCAAATCCACAAGGATCAAATTCAGATAGACTGATAGTGTGTGAGGAACTTGGATCTAGATCACATGTTTGAATTGGTCGAACATAAGTTTCAAAATCAGCATAAATAATGAAAGGCACCTTAAGTTGCTTAGGAATTTCGCTGAATTCCAAAACATCAATTTCACCTGGTATTGGCATTTCTATTTTTTGCTCCCCAAGAGACATACAAAAGTCAGTGTGCTTATCTAAATTCCTTTTATCCAGAAAACCATGCAAACAATATGGGCAATAATAATGCGCATGACGACCTCTACCCCCTTCTGTCCTGTAGAGAAATCGGTTTAAATTTTTTATTAAACAGTAGTGAAATGTTTCCTTGTTCTTTAAATAAAGCAAATCAATATGTGATTTTCTTTTGGATTTTGTTATTCGCATTGGGAAGATTTCCTTTATCTTCATATCCAAAGACGTTTATGGATACATCGTTTTGATTTTCAAACTTCGTTATTTGCGTTAAACGGACTGGATATTGAATACCTCCCATGTTTACTTAAGTGCGGAAGATAATGATTCAGTCTAGAAGGATTGTGCTTTACGGGGTAAAGTTTTGCTAAAACAGAATACAGGAAACACTTCTGATCCTTATTTTTTATGTTCACTAAGGATCTGCTCTTCCTTAACTCCTCAGGCTCTTTAATGTAATTTCCACCTTTCAGGGGGGAATATACGACATAACACAATTCTAAATAAATTATTTTCGATAATATCCAGTCGGAGCCTTTCATTATAAATTCCTCTTTCGAAGTAAACATTTTTTGGTAAGCCTCGTGGAGATTATGCATATTAAAGTCCTCTGTGGACAAATGGTGGTATGTGGTGCTGCGAAAATGTGGCATGGCTTTTTCAATCTGACCTTCCTTTTCTCGGATAAATTCTACTCTTGTGACAAGATACCATTTTAACCCTTTCCTGTCTGGTGAATGAGAGACTATAAATTCTCTTATTTTCGCCTCAATGTTTGAATAAAACACAAGCAAATCGAATTTCTCTTTGTATGTTGGCTATATTTTGATTGACGTTACATATCCATTGCTTGCTTGTGTAATTTCATGCTCGTTATCACCACTTTCGTTTTCTAATGTTTCCTCAAAAGTTGTAGTTTTTTTTTTCTTGATTCAATTGATGGAGATGATGGCTGTTGCACCGTCTTGGACGATGAGGGGTGAGAATTACCTCCTATTTGAAGGTTGGCCATCGACTCATGAAAGCGTCTATAGTGAGTTTTAAAATTATCCTTTCTGTTGAAATGGTGATCACAAATGAGGCAAACGATTTTCTCCCGTTTTGACCTTATGTGTCTGGTTAAGTCTGACTTCCGTTTATAACTTTTCTTGCAATCCTCACATTGATATTTTTTATCATTCCCATCCATCATCCATTCAACTATATTTTAACCATTGTTTTCTAAATGTGTTTTTCTTCTTCGAAGATAGCTTCTCCTTTCGCTTGATGATGTCTGCAGCCTTCTTATATATATCCACTTTGGCTGAGTCATCATCAGAAATATTGGTTTTTATGTTTTTCTCCTTTACGCTCTGATTATTATGCAAATCCTTATAATCAGTGTCAGTCTGTACCTTCTCTTCTAAATCAGAAAAAAATCTTTTAACAGGACTCTGATCTGTCGTGTTCTCATGTTCGTTCTTTATTTTGGTTTTAGTGTTTTTTAGTTCGCTGACTTTTCTTTGCATTTCTGTATCAACATTCATTTCCGGAATATTTCCTTTGCTCTGATTAGAATGTAAATCTAAATATTCAATGTCAGAATTCACCTTCTTTTTATTTTCTGTTTTCACATTAATGTCATGCAGTTCACCGACCTTTCTCTGCTTTTCATTATCCATATTTGAAATATTTGGCTCACTCCGATTATTCAAATTCCTCTCGTGATTTTCCAATAACTTCTGATATTTTTCTTTCGGAACTAACACAATCTCCTTTGCCATTATAAGACAAATATCTGATCACTGGTAATAATAATATTGGTACAAGTTTTTGAATTCTCACTAAAATTTCCTTTTTAACACGTTTAGCTATTTTCCTGTCGATCAGTTTCCTTAACAATGCTTTTTTTCTTCTCAGTTTTATTTCTTCCTTTTTAGCAAGAGGATATACACCATTCAAAATGTTGTAAACGATTTCTACCAGGATGTTTAATTGATGGTTGTCAATGGTTCGAAGTATCTGAACCCTTTGCGTCTTGTGAGTAAAAGCCAGCAATTTAAGAAAATCCAAATGTCTCTTAATAGATGAGGTCATAACTTTACATTGGTAAATAAAGTATTGTATCCTCTTCTGGAAAAATGTTGGAAGAAAGGCGGTTTCTCTCAGCTGTACCCGGATAGAGTGTCACACACAAATAAGAATATGGAATATCAGTCGCTTTTTTATAAGCATCCATGAAATATTTTGATTGGTTAGGGAACATCTGTCTGCCCAAAGTCTTCACTTGCTGCTCATCTCTTGGATTTTTAAAAAGTATTATGTAATGCGCATTTAAAGATACTGTTCGCATGTACTTTCCAGGCGGAAATATATTTTGAAGCAAAAATATAACAGTTATACCCATGTGGTGAGAATAAGTTGTAAATAAGTTCATTAATTCAGCGTTATTTGCAGCCTGTCCCATGACATCATCCAATACCAATAAAATGTTCCCATATTCGTTAGAAAAATTTTCTAAAGTCTTTTAATCTAGTATTCCTTGCAAAAAGGTAATAGATGTTATTTCTCTCTCTATTTGTTCAAACAATGACTGCCAAATACCAAAAGCGTAAAGTATATGTTTTATGTCCGATTCGAATAAATTGAGATGTTTAAGCAGAGAAAATACAAAAGTAGTTTTTCCGGCATGTGATTGTCCCGTCACAGTTATGTTACTGTTGGATTTAAATTTAGTAAGATTCTCAATTTCCAAATCCATCATCATTCCAAGGAGTCAAGTAGTGAAATGAAAAACAAATGTTGGAATAAGTCATATATCTTTATTCAAATATATTTACTCAGTATGTCATACATGGTTTGTTAAACATAGTGAAAATGTGTGCTTTATAAAGTTTAATACATATAAATCATTCAATTCACAAAAAGGTGAAAACATGTCTAAAAAATCTTGGAACGATATGTTTCGCACTTTAAAAAAAAGATTAAATATAGAATAATACCCACATACTAATGAATCATTACACTGCACAGATAACTGATTAAAGTATACATTGTTGGCTATTTTATGAAAGTCAATAAGTTTTTTGTCACCTGCTACTCCTAGACTGTCAAAAATCTCCACACGATTTCCATCATTGTAAACTGCAAGCCAGTGTTCTCCTTCGTGACCAGACGGTTTAGTGTTAACTATGAATCTTTTATTGACTCCAAGTTTTGAAATCTGATTTGCTGGGAAAACACCAATTATATTATCCCTCATCAAGGGATCACACTCAATCATGCATTTTAGTTGTACGTTACTGAGAGCAGTATTTTTTTTTTTTACGAGGTTATTATATCTCTGGCCTGGTTAATCTCAAAAAGAGCAGAGTATTGCCCCCAAACGATAGCAGTAACTGTCTCTGGCAGGGCGGAACCAAACTGTACTTCTAAGCGTACATTACCCTGCTTAAGTAATGTTAAATATTCCCCTTGTTCGAAAGTGGGTTCTAGATCGAAGCAGAATATGACATTTCCTCCTTCAGAAAACTGTTTCCTTGTGATTGAGTTCCCTCCATCAAAGAACCATTTTCCTGCATTGTCGAATAGATTTACGTAAGCTGAAACAATACTGTGTCCTTTTGTACCATCAAAATTAAGTTTTATAGGTGTATTCCCTACAGGATTACCATCACTGTACAGAGCTATCTGGGTAATGTTAAAATGTTGAAAATTATAGGGGTTCTTTGTAAAATCTCCAGCCACTGCTTGTGAAAGCGCAAAAGCGACATACATTCGGTCAGGTCTTGTTCCCGAAAACATATTTTCAAAAGATACGTTCAGTAGACCCTTCGCCAGATTATACATTTTTACTGTGCTTTTTTGTATGGATATTTGGCAGTTGTAGTTTCCAACATTTTGGCATGACTGAGTATCACGGCGGGATTAATTTTACATTTGCATACGCGCAACACTACTTCTTCTATTTGTATATTGTAGTTTTTCCCTGTGGCAGTGGTCAAGAGAAGACAAAATTCAGGTCGTGTACGATAGAATTTAAGGGAAATACCAACTTGATTGAGAATATATCGATCCATCTGGAACAGTTCATGCATAATGGGTCCTTCAAGGTCTATGCTCAAGCTTCCCTTAATAAGTGCAGCTCTCTTCAGCAATCCAGAATTTCTTCCACTCTTTGCATTTACGTCATCAAATTCTCCCGCGTGATCACTTTCCCATAACTGTGAAGTCAACTGGGATGATTTTACATCTGTACCATAGTAAATTAAAGTATTTAACATGCTTAGGTACGGATAATGTGCCCCAGAGCTGTTGATGGGCTTATTCTGCATAGATACATCTACTTGACTGAAAAGAGATGGTAGCAGTAAGTTCTCTGGACCAATGATATCATCCACTCCAAGGGCGGTTTCACCATTCATGACTTTAAGTTTAACATAAATTCTGCTTCTTTTGAGGTCTATGTAGTCCATTCCGTTTTGTGCAGAAAGCTGATATTCAATAGGTGAACTGCCAGAAATTTGAGATATTGGACGTACATCCTGAAAATAGATGTTTTCCACAGCAGTTTGAGTTGGTGGCAAATCAAATAGAGAAAGCTGGCTAGGCATAGCTTCTCTAAAAGCTTCCTGTGATAAAATTGACATGATTCAATACAGTCCAAATACGTCTGACTGTAGCTTTACAACTTTACTTCGTTTCGCTGTGGTTCCTCCCTTTGAAGTGGTTAATTTCTTACTGGGACGTTTCGTGCTCTGTTTGTCCTTTTTTAATATATTTTCTTTATTTCACCTTTTGCTTGCTCAACTATCTGTTCTGCTGGTGACGTCATGTTTATTTTGGGATTTTTATGGCTGTCATCCATGTCCTTGACGTATGTGTCGATAGATAACATAAACGGAGATGTTTTATTACGCAGACCTCCACCTCGTTGATATCCTTTCATTGTGTGATCAGTATAAGGATTCACATTTCCTTTATTAATCTGCATATAGAATCTTGTCCACTTTTTGGTATCAGGAACATAAAGTTTTTTATTAAAATCCATGATTAAAACGGATAGCGAATTAAATGAAGTTCATCCACACGTCAGAATCGATGAATGTGGCTGGTAAACCACTATCGTCCTTTAAATACAAATGTAGGTATGTCAAGTCAGTGATCTTAATAGGAATATAGTAGATGGGATAGAATTTGTCATTCCAACCATAAGAGGGGTCAGGTTGAATAATGCGCAATAAAGGCTGCTCCCGACCATTGACATTTGAAAAATTACAGATGTTAGAAAAAGACGAAAAGTGGTTTTAAATTAAATGTCGTAATAGGTTTAGATGTTGCCTTGTCAATGACTGATTTTTTCGGTGATGACAATGTATAAAATTCAGATATGCCAATTTTCCAATATCCATGTAAATCCAGAGCTTTGTCAAGGTGAACCTTAAAATCATACGGTTTATTTTCAGGGTAATAATTCACAGTGTCACTTGACTTGACAAATATGTATTTTTCCATTATTTTGCTTTTGTATCAATAATATTTGATTCTTTAACCCACTAATTAAACTTTTCAGGCCAAGACTCAAATTTCACTAAGAATTCCGTCTCTCCTTTCCTTTTCCTCTTCTTAATTATTTTCTCCACTAGCCACAAAGAATCCTCGTTTTTATCGACTTTTTGTAAATCGTTTTCATAAAAGTCTCCTTCAATTAATTCCTCATTAAAATCCTTTACTTTGTACATTGGTATCCCTTGTAAATGAAATCGTTTTGCTATTTTAAACACTTCACCTGTATACTGTTGATTATATCCTCGTCGAAAGACATGCTTTAAATAAGAAAGCCTGACTAAGTCATTTACTTTAAATCTATATTTCAATGTTCGATGATGTTTCTTCGTTCTATGTGGTTTTCCTATCGTTGTTTTCTTTAGGTAGAGGACGGCCCAGACATCTGCCTCATTATTTTTTGTTACTTCATTTGGTGCTAAACCACCCAAACTTCTATGTGGAGTGGAATTATAATTGTTCACAATATCTGATAAAACATCTAAATATCTATAAGTTCTGTTTCTTTGAAAGTAGCGATATAGTCTGCCACTAATTGTTCTAATGACTCTTTCTGCAATTGATGCTTTAGAATTTTGATTAGCAAAAAATAACCTTACTTCATTTTTTTTGTAAATAATTCTGTAAAAGTTTATTACGGAATTCAGAACCACGATCAGACCTGAGTGTTTTACATTTTACTCCCGATTCAAAAACTTGTTGAATTCCATTTAAAACCTCTCTGGCTGTTTTTTGTTTAAGTGCTACAATTCGCAAATATTTAGAGAAAGAGTCTATTAATATTAAAAGGAATCTCACACCATCGTTCTCTTTTGACAAATTCTGGACGTCCATAAGGTCCATGCTCCACTGAACATTGAGGCCACTGACACGAATATTTGGCGTTCTTTTAGGTCGACGAACTTGTCGTTGTAATGTATACGCATCCTGTTGTCTTAGCCATTTTGTTATAAAGTATTTGCTAAATTTGTATGTTGTCTTTGCTTTTAATGCCTGGTAAAGTTTTCCTGGTGTTGTATATGCTGCCGGATTGCTAATATTGTAATAATACTTCTCCAAAAAATCCCTTTTCTCTTATTCACTCATTTTTAATTATTCCCGAGATTTAGCTTGCTGTTCCATACTTGAGAATAACTTCTTCCTCCAAAAGTCAGTAAATCTATATGTTTTCATGATATTCCACAGTGACTTAACGTCTTCAAGTTCACATTCATATTCCCGCAACATATGTTGTAAAGTTTCTCGAATGTTCACTCCCATAAAAGCAATTTCAAAATTTACAATTAGTTTCATGTACGAAGAATCCATTTGGCATGAATGTTCCGTTTGAGAAGGGTGAGCTATCTCACAACCACTACAATTCTTAATAGATAATCTATAGACATCATCCCAAAGACTCTTAACACATAATGAGACCAATAATTCAAAATATTTATGATTAACTTCCATCGTTAAAAAAGCATTATAACTTTGATTAACATTGAATACTTTATATAGTATAAAGTATAAGTTCCTCTTTAAGGATGAATAAGTTCACAATTGAAAAACTAATTTTCTACCTTCATAAATTACAAAAAAAGTCGATGTTGTAATTTTATTTCCTTTATTAAAATTGTATTAGATTCATTCCGTTACTATCCTAGATATCTTGTCACATAGCCTTTTTTTCAAATTGTCTTTTCTAATAAAGAAGAATCTATATGATTAATTGACCTCTTCAAATATTGCCACTGCATTTTGTTAAGTTGAATGCCATTTCCAGAGTCCTTTTCATCCTCAAATCGACGAACATCTAATGTAATATTTCCATCGGACCGACATATTCTAACGTACACCCCGCCACTGAGTGGATATCTATCTACATAAGCACACTTTGGAAAAGAGAGAGTAGATGTTAAGTTCTCACACTTCCACTGAATACAATCCGTCATTTTCATTTCCTTCCCACCTCCTTTCTCCTCCAGTAATATTGTATTCACACACAGAAGTATAATTACAACTGTAGAAAATACATAAATTAACAAAGATTTAACCTTTTCTTTCTTGAAAGATGTTCTGTTTTCATTATTACACTCCATTTCGACTAAACTAGTGAGGACTGTAACGCTCTCCATTCTTCTTTCTGTTAAAAGACAGCTAGTGTATCCTTCGGAGGTAACTATAAAATGACAATTCATAAAAGTATTGATCTTATTTATGGAGATAAGTCAGTTTTGTGAAACATTTAGCTCCTTAGCATATTCATATAGCATTTTATATAGAAGTGGGTATACATAAAATAAGCATCTCGGGATGGAAAAAATTATTTTTGGATCTTTTATTGATTTTATATAGTTCAAACCCTTTATGCTTTTTGCTCATATGCATATTTGGTAATTACAGTATGATATAGTATGAATTTATAGATTAGGCGTGGTCAAAATAAGTTGTTATTAAGCTTTGAGGTGGGGCTTAAGTGTAAGCCTTCAAAGCCTTTTATCTCATTTGTATTTGGTATATACTTGGTATACTTTGTATAATAAACTGGGTGGAGCTACATAGTTTGAGCCTTTTACTTCATCTACATAATTAGTAGAATTATATAGCAAATGGGGTGTGGCTTAATGTGTTTTACAATCAGCATACTTCTACTACTCCTAATTTATACGGGAAATGCTTATTATGACATCACACAAAATTACAAGTTCCTCAAATAACCACAAAATGAAATGATTTGCTATTTTAAACTGTTGGATAGCTTTAAACTACATCAATACTTACTAATGCCTGTATTTTTGTCGTTGGTTTAATCCCACACAAAACTAGTGGGTATTGTTTTTTTTGTTTTTTTTTACAAAAAAACACGTCTCCCCTTCTTTACCAACATTAACGAGTGCAAATATATGATCAAGGTCAAAAATAATGCAGTGCATCTCAACTCAAATTCTGTGTACAAAATTTCAAGTTCTCAAGTAATGGTCTGGTCGTGTTTTTTTTAATTTGACCTTGAAGAAAGTGGTCAAGGTCAAATATTTTGATGCAGTGCATTTAGTCTCAATGTTGTCTTTCCTTGTTCCAAGTTTGAAATCCTAATGTCAAAAAGTTCTCAAGTTATGACCTAGACTATATTTTCATGTAAACGATTGACCTTGACTTTATTAATAGGTCAAGGCGAAAAAATGTTGCCGTTCACCCTTCCTCTACTCTCCATGTTCCAAGTTTGAAGTCTTAATCACAGGTACTTGACGTTTTACACCTTTCTCTTTAATGATAAAAATATCCCCATACTATAATAATAACAAGGT